AGCCAAGGCTGGGTGATTCCGGGCGCTTTTGCTCAATTTTGTGTTGTACCTAGGTATACGAATCGATGTACCAAGGCCTCCGCATAATGTGCTGGCCTACGCATCTGCGGAACATTCGCGGGAAAGCTGTTTGTGCGATCGCGCCAGAAAATGGATCGTGGCTGGAATTTGCCCTTGTTTGTTAAGATACTCTGAGATGGTCCGGTGCCCGAATTCAAAATCTGTAAGTCAGTCTGCTTGTTTGAGCCACTGCCGGCCCAAAATCGCATCAGTTGCCCTGCGCTTCGTCGTTCCTAAAGAACCATGAGCCACCAGGGACAGCTTCACTACGAAGGCACGGAGGACACCGCGGAGGAAGTTCTGCTGGATTCGCCGCCTGCCCGTCCTTCCGGGAAGTCGCGCTGGTACTTTGCCGGAGCCGGGGTGTTGGCGGTGCTGGCAGTTGTGGGGTTGGCAAAAGCCGTGCTCCCCTCAGCCCTGAAATTCAGCAGCGCCAAGAATGCGATTAGTTTACAGGAGGTGCAGCACTGGGAAGACATCCCAGGCATCGACAAGGTCATCCAGAAGGCCCAGGGCCTGAGGCATGAGAAGCCCCTGCGCAACCTGCAGGACCTCTTCTACGACTCTCAGCCCGAGGAGTTGCCCTGGATCCGCACGGAGTGTGTCATCGATGTAGTCCAAGCAGCTGCCTACCTGGACCAAGCCATCGTCTTCTTGTACAAGGCTATCGACTACAACGGCTTAGAGTGCCCGAACAACTCGCCGGTGGGCTGCGCGGCTAGCGTGGCAGGTTTCCTCACCTCCATCAGTTGGATTGCGTCCTACCTTTCCTTCGCAGCCAACGCCTGTGGCCAGGCTGTGAACAACGGAGCTTTGTGTGCTGGTGACTTCACAGCGCTGACGGCCAACTTTGGAGAGATCGCCACAGTGGGTGCGGCCGCGCGGGCAGACTGCAACTTTGAGAAGAACGTCCATGCGATCCTCACCAATCCTGAGCCGAAGAACCTTAACCGTCGTTTGGACGAGGCCCCGGATCGCATGCTCCCCACCCGAAAGTGGACGCAGTTCGTGCCAGCCGCTGCAGCACCAGCTGTGGAGAAGTATGTGAAGGTCAAGGGTCACGTGGAGGCCAACCGCAACCGCGGCTTCGACATCGCCCAGTGCGTCGCGGATGTGACCAACTCCGCTGCCTACATCGTCCGCGTCATCCTCCAGCTCCGCACNNNNGCTGTTTCCTCGTGCGCCGACCCCAAGGCCTGCGCCATCAACGTCATGACCCTCAGATCGCATGCAGTCCTGATTTTCAGCGTTTGGCTTACTTCAGCGTCGTATGCCACAGCAACCTTGTCAACCGTGCCTTTTTTAAACACGACCCTGTGCAAAGCGTAAGTAGCGAGATCATCACCCAGGAACATCATTAGCTCCTTTGCGTGGATCTCGCAGTTCACGGCCCTTGCGGTGGCTGACTGCCAAGTGGGTGTGGACCAGAAGGCTTTGTGCACTGCTGACATCTCCGCTGCTGGGCCCGTTTAGGTAACAACCTTTAGAGAT